ATATATATAATAGGGGCACCCTCGCATAACGCACACATTCGCGAGTTCATACATATACTTATCATCGAAACATACCGTTGTAAAAGGCATTCCATTCTTCATAGGTCAAATTGCCATCCTCTTGCAGACGTGTCGTTTGCCACGGCGAGAAACACGCACAGATCGTCTAGATATATTCCATCCGTTAATAATGTGATCTGTCTTTTGTGCTAACTTAACAAAGCACTTACCCCGTGAATAATTTTTTCTTTATTTGTCGTATACGTCATATATACCACTCGCCATTTACATATGATATGACGTTCAATTTCGATATAGACTGGAGTCACGCAACTCGCCACGCTTAACGAGCAGTAAGCCAACCTTACATGTGAAATGGGGGAGATATGGCGAATTTAGAAGATAACGCACGTTTGATGTTTGATACAACAATAATCAATGAAATATGTTTCTTTAGAAATTTTAACTAATGGTAACTTTAGTGACGATCCTACAAGATAGTTTCATCGAATAACGAATCAAATTATTCGATTTACTAATTAAGTCATCGATGAGATACTCTAAGGCCTGTTCTACAATGTATCGTGTGCGGTGTCGTGGATCGTGGGCCATAAGAATGAGCCAATCACAATCAAGTATTCTCCCCACGTTTGTCTGTGATTGGTCAATTCTTGTGACTTGCGATTTGCGACACCGACATGCGACGCATTGTAGAACAGGCCTTCATGTTAGAGAGAAAAAGAGAAAAGATAAACTGCGCAAGAAGTTTAGCTGAAAAGAATAGACCTAATTTAACGCCGATTTTGAACGGCACACTTTTTTGGGAAGGTTTTTTTGGGCAGAAATGTTCTCGTGGTTTGCCAGATCGTCGAGAGGAGATACGAGCGTATGATGAAAATGTTTGGTTCTGTCGAGACTTGAACCTGAGCCTTTTAACACAGTAGCTATAGTGCGCTATCCATTGTGCCACGCTCGCTCTTCTACGTAGTTTTAAATTAAAAAATAAGTATATTAGCAATAATATAGAAGGTTTCAATGGTCTTATGAAAAAGGCTGGGACAGTTTCTCCTCCCTCTATCGATCCCTTCCCTCGAAGATCTTATAGAAATTTGCGCGACCACGCATGATTATTAAAATTTTGAACAATTCCATAATATAATATTAATTCATAGTTTATAATATAATATTAATTCATAGTTCATAATATAATATTAATTTATTATTACTCTGATATTCTTTAGACTATATTATCGCTAAAAATTCCATTTTTTTTCACAGTTTATTATATTTTTGAGGTTATTTCAAGTCATAGATAACTATAAAAATGTAATAAAATTAGATATAGTAGTACGTTGTATAGTAAGATATATATATATATATATATATATATATACACCTTTACTTATTTATTTATTTATACTTATATTTATATTTATATTTATTACCGTGCTTGATTATTATTAAATTTAATAATTTATTATTCAAATATTTATGTTAAAAATCATGTAAACGTATATCGATATATCAATACTCTTCAATCTTTAGGCTTTCCAGACTCCTTTGATGATCACGAAAATTTGTCCAGAATTGACGATTTTTTTTTAATAATATTTCGTCGTCGATTCAAATCTAATCAGATTGTCTTTTTCTCATCTTGTTCTATAAATAGAAAAATAAAGGAATATTTTATTTACTTTATTCAACAAATCAAATACGCTATTTAGGATTTGCAGTTTTGCTTTTAAATTTTACAATTAGATATTGATATTGACATGTTAATATGCACAACTATTGTTTCTTATTTCTCGCTTAGTTGTGCATTTTAAAATGCATTTGTACTTGTATAGCAACATAATACATACGTTAGAAAAGTAGTTTTATTAAACTTATATTGTAAAAAGATTTTATCACAAAAGTCACAGTTTATTCATTAAATAAAGTTTTTTTTTAAATGTACGCACCATGTAAATCATTTGTATATTTCATAATATATTTTTACATTTTAAATTATCCCCTTTTCTCCCTCTCTTCTTCCTTCGTCTTCACCTCTTCCCTTCCTTTTTTCTTTCTATTTATACATTTTTCTTCTCCTTTATTTCTCCTTCCCCTCTCATTTCTTATTTTTATCTCTCGCCCCATTTCTCTTTGTCCCTCTCTTCCTCTGTACTCAAAATACATAATTTTGTAAAATATATACAAGATAACTGAAAAGCGCAACATCTCAGTTAACATTCCTTGCGTGCAAATTTTGCGTTATACATATAAATTTTGTACAAGATTTGAGTTTTGTTTATGAAACATTTTTATCGTGCATATTACATACAAGCAGAAGAATATCGCACATAAAGTTTGCTGGTTATTTGCTGTTTTTATGTACCTAGAATAAGGTTTTGTTTGCTTAATGCATGCGTAAAATGATAGATATTTGCGCATAATGTTTTTTGCTATATGTAACAATTATTTTTCTCAGAAGATAATTATTATAATATTAAAATGTATGTTTAATATCTTCAATTCTATTTTATTTTACAAAACATTTAGAAAAAATTAAATTAATATAATACCTTTTAAATAAATTAAATATTTTTTAATAATAATACAATTTTATCGTAATAAGTGATCAAGTTTTTTTGATTCTTATAATACAAGTTGTACTAGAATTATAAAATTAAATGCTTCATATAACTCTTGTATGAAAAAATACATTTGTATAAAGATTCACTTGTGCACGCGTGTGTATATGTATAATCTCTATATATTTCAATACACTTATAAAGAACAATTTTATCATTTAATTTCTCCTTGTCTATCGGCTTTGTTATTATTTCAAAAAATCATTATATTAGGAATACGGTACTTGAAAGATACACACATTTAAAAGAAGATCTTGAAAGAAAAATAATTATAATTAACGATTAACAATTTGTCACATTAAGTATAATAGTACGAGATATAGTACGACACATTAGAAACAAATCGAAAATTTAAAGAAAAAAAATAATAAACATTTTAAAGTAAATGAAGAAGAATGCATGTACATAGTTTACGCAACATGTCAAAATTTTACCGCGTAAAATACAAAAAATTGATATGTGCAAAAAGACTCGCATAATATCGATGAATGGGATTCATGAATAAAAATTGAATGTCAATATATGCTACATTAAACGAACAAAAAAAATATAAGTTTCTATGTAAAAATTTATCATTGTAAATAGTCGCAAATAAAAAAATTTTTTTGAAAAGGTCTAAGCACCCTTCGAAAAACGAATTATTCATTTTCTAAGATTTTTGTCTCAGTCATCGATATTATTGCGAGAAAATAAAGAGAAGCATGTAATCAAATAAAAAAGAAACAAATAAAATAAAAACGAAAAAGTAATTGAAAAGAACAACAATGAGTGAAATTCGTAAAAATAATCTTGTCATTTTTTAGTAACATGCCATACTTTTGTCATCAAACTTTTTTTGCTAATTACATCAGATTTTGAGATTACCTAAGCGATTCAAAAATCCAAAATCGGATTATAAGACGTTTTAAAAATGTCTAAAAGACATCCCAGACATTTTTGTGAAAGACATCTGTTGCGAAAGATTTTCGTGATGACGTCTCGTATTTCCAATTTTAGGTTTGTGCTGTCTAGGTATGTATCGCACCGCTTTTGCCACCGGCCGTGCGAACTTTAAATCATTTTCATGTATTTTAAACGCTATAATATATATCATATATTCAACATTTTCATATTAGAATATTATTTCATATTGTTTTCTCGCAATGGTTTCGCAGGAATCTTATCTTTAAGCATTGTCATGGTCTTTACGGAATATCCTATATAAGCCTTCTCGTGTGTTTTTTTTTCTTTCTTTCAAATTATGAGACAGCAAACGTAGATCGAAACCTTGTTACCTTTGATATTTTTGACTAGAATTATATTTTGTTTTTTATCTCTATCATCTATTCCATTCTTTTCGATGACTATTTTACGGCGAATATAATTTTATTTCTTACTAATCGAGAGATACTACTATTCGATCAGACATTTTTACTCTTGCTTAATGCTCTGATCGGGCGATATGTAGAAAGAAGGATAATTTATCAGTGCATTGATAGCCACACATATTGCACGTGTAAGGATCGTCAAAGCTGTGACAACTCATATGCACAGTGTACATGATAATGTTGCCAAATATAATTTCACAGTAGTGACACGTGAATTCGGTGTCGAATAAATCGGCAACAATTTCATCTTTGGTATTCTCGACTTTTTTATTTATTTCGCAGAAACTAGAGCTACCATCTGGCGGAAGACATATCTCGGAAAGTCTACTTCCATTTCGATCTGGTTTTTCATTCGGGTTTTCTTCTATCATGCGACGTTCCAGTTTAATAGCTTTACCTTTACGTTTGCTAGTGCCGGTGACTCTTAACGAATTCGTACTCGTTAATGCGTGTAAGGGAAGCTGCTTCTTTTCGATTACTCCCGCCATGCGGAGATCCAACGGCGCGTCTGTAAATTCAATCTTCTGGACATCCAATTGAGATTTTAACGTCTTAAATGACGAAGATTCGCTAATAAACTTTGCGTCCTCGAAAACACGAAATTTGCTAATATTATCGGCTGTATCGAAATGAGTTATAGGCAGATTTTGAGCGAATGTTTCTGGCGTTTTGTTCTCGATATTTAAAATTTTAGCATACCGCATTAACGTGTCGAATTGTACGTGATCCGTCTTCTGTACATTTTCGTAGAATGTAGCGTTTTCGCGAAGCGAAATGTGATTCGACAGATTAAACGCGGCAACCAAATCACTATAAGGGAACGTTGCGACAGATTGGATCTTATTCATGGCATTATGATTTATCCAATGCCTATCGTTTATTTCATTTATCGCGGTCACAGTGAAATAACGAGCAATTGGCGAATGAAGCGACAAAAGTTGAGAAGTTATCGCCGAGTTATCAAGTTTGTTATCATTGTTTGTTGCGATAGTATCCCTTAGCTCCTTCCGCAGCTCTTTTTTAACAAATGTTTTCTGCTTGGGTCCGCGTTTAGTACCGTAGACGTCAATGATGGACAGCGGATTCGGTGAACCATCAGCATTCAACACCATTGCCGGTTGATGCTCCTTTTTTCTCAGGTGCTTTTTTAGCGCGTTGCAAAACTTGGTTTTGTACGTACAATCGGCGCATCTGTACGGATAAATGTTCGAATGCTTTTTTAGATGACTAGTCAACATCGATTTGCTTACGCACGTGTACAAACATTTTTTGCACTTGAAAGGCTTGGAGCCGTCGTGAACACTAAGCCAGTGATGGTTCATGTGATGTTTGTATTTGGTAACGAAAGAGCACTCGGAACACGTAAAACCTTTGATATGACGGCGCATGTGCTCCCAATATTCCGTCTTTGTGCTAGCTGTGAAATCGCATTGCTTGCAATTCTTAGCTTCTCGGAAGTTTCCGTCACGTTTTCTCAGGTGGCCGTATGGATTCACACGAGGAACACGAATATTAGAATCATCAGTTTTCTCTGTCTCGTGTTCAACATATTCCGTGAGCGTAGAAGAAAAACAGTTGTCGCCGTTTTGATTTAAAGAAGATTCAAGTGTTGGTAAAAGTGCAAGGACGGCTTCAAAATTGAAATCGTTGCGTTTCGGTGAACAACGATCGATCGGATGTTCAGCAAATTCGGATCTAAAATTAACGAATTTAACAAACATTTGTTTTCAAATTTTTTTAAAATTAATAGTAGATTTGATTGGACGCGTTAAATGCAAATTAAACCACTAAAGATGACTTTTATTATCGTGTTAGATTATCGCGCAATTTAACCGAATATACAAGTTGGAAGATATATAGAATGCCTGTACATAATGTCCGTAATCGGTGGATAACGTACCTGATGTTGACGTTCGATGTAGCGAAAATAGATGATGGATACTGCAGAATGTTCCGATCGGGATTAACATCTTCACTGGACAATGGAACGATATTCGACATGACGCTCAACGATCGATCAGTTTGACATTCATTCATGACGTTCGTCAAATTTTGCGAGTAAGTTGAAGTTACCGTAGATGAGCGCAGGGTGTATTGGAAGCGATAAACCGCGACTCGCTATGGAAGACGATCGTCCGCTTCTCGGCGAATCGAACACGTTGGTGCACGTCGGAAGAAACACCGAAAAAAATTGCTCTTGTTTTTATCTGTAAAAATATAAAATTACCTCGTCAAATTACCTCGTCTATAAAGAGAGAAACTGAATGCTGAGGAAACAGTCTCGACATCCATCTTCTTTATCGAAAAATTTGGCATGTGTAAGGCTAATAAGTAATTTGATTAATAAAAAAAGGATATAACTATTTGTTGGATTTGGAATATTAATTAATATTATTTCAGCTTATCTGTTTGACGTGTAATATAGACGAATATACATATTACATATATACAAATACAAACATATATACATATATACTATACCAGAATATATTATATTTGAAGAATATTATATTTGTATGTAATGAATATGTTTTGTCTATCTAATAAAAAAAAAAAAAATAACTACACCATATACAAACGCGCATGTGTATGTATATTATATTATCAGATTATAGGATGGATCGATATTACATTCTTTTCTGTGATATTGCCGAAAAAATTTTACAGATGAAAATATATAAGATACGATATAAAAATGAAATGATATGAAATAGCAATGAATTAAGAAAGAAAAGAAATCTAAATGTAAGCTTTAATTTACTTGCACTTATAAAAATATTTATAATCTATGTTAAGCTTAGCAAACAAATTATGAAATTTAAATAATAATAATAAAAAAATATAATATTAAAAATAAGAATAGATAACATATATCATAATGTGTGCGTGTTCTCTTCTCTTTCCGCGTGTGTATACGTAATAGAAATATATAAATGTAAAATAAAAATAATATAAATCTTAAAACAAATCTTAACAAATAACAATACGTTTGAGTAATATATAAATAATGATTATCATTGACATTTCAATTATTTGTTTAAAGTAAATCATTCTTCATTCATTGACAATAAAATATCCGTTTTTTCGTATCTGCGAATATGTCGAACATCTTAATGTTAACATTAGAAATTTATAGTTATTTTGCATTTGCAAATTTAATTAATAATAGGAAAAAAATAAAAAAAATTCGAACGATGGTAGTGTGTGTTTCAGTAAGAAAGATATACGTACAACAAAACGAACGAAATCGATAATACAAAATCGATAATCGACAAAGAGATATCAACACTAAAATATAAAATATATATTATAAATAAAATAAAAATTTTATTCAATTACTTATTTTTTCCACTTTTTACTGCATTATTATTTTTCACTGTTTACTTTACTTACTAGCTAATTATTAATTTTCACGATTCACAAGATGTATTTGCTACATTTCCAATAATTACATGAAACATTATTATAATATCTGAACAAGTTGCGAGATATAATTTAAAATAATTAAAATAATTAAATATAATTAATTATTCATTAAAAATTATTATTTGAATACTCTATAATCTCTATAAATATTAATAAAAATTCTTCTAATTGATTTTGACGATAATTTGATATCTCAGACATAATTTGATATCTAATACAGAGATAAAGAGATCGTAAAACTTTCGACATTCCTGATTTAATATTGTAAATTTTGAATGAACAGCATCATCTATTCAAGATCGAACTGATGTGGTATTTCGAAATTTCAAGCGAGACTATGTCAAGATCATAACAATAAATAGAAAAACCAAAGGAACGATTAGTAATGGAAATTTCAATCGGTAAACGTTATGCGTCAAGATACATAACGCGCAGAAGATGATAACGAAAACGAAAGAGAGAAAGAATACGAGGAGATGGTAACGAAGTGTAACTGTCGAAAAGTTAAGTATGTATATTACAATTAACACGAAACCTTTGAGAATAAAAAAACTGATATCGAGAATATTAAATAAGCACTTTCATTATATTCAAGGATCAAAACATATCTCAAAGAAAGTTTAAATCATGAAAAAATTCAAAACCGCAGTCACAAGTTACAAACATAGCTTCGAAAACAAAATTCCTTGCGCTTGTTCTTACACATAGCTATTTCAAATTTGCGAAAATATCATTTCCTTCTTCTTCATGTATCATTTTTTTTTTTTTCAAACAGAAATAACTTTAAAGAACGTTTAATAAAATTTAAAACTAACTTAATAAGTGATCGCTCGTTGCAAGTGTTCGGAATAAATATTAATTGGCACGTAAATACAACTTGCGAGACAATTAAATATTATTTGTATAAGGAAAAGATTTTATGCGGTGTGGTTCATTAGATGCAACAATAATATTCGATCCAACTTGATACATTCCAATCCTTTTTCCGCTACGGTTAATGATTCACTTGGTATTTACGAGTGCAAAACACTCAGGAGGAGTGCAAAACATCAGAGAATCACACTTGGTCTCGACACTTGGTTAAAGATACATAACATTTATCACGCATTGTTCTTACATAAGAATTACTATATATATCCGAGTTTTGAATATCCTAACGACAAGTGAGCTCGGTATGAACTAACGACGGCATCCTAAGGCCCAAAGCGAAATAGCCGGGTTTTATCGAAAGGCAGCGTTGTCTTCCCTCTTTCGTCTTTCCGACCAATCAGAATCGTTATTCGAGTTTATAGGCAATTTGATAAATTTTGATTTCTCTTCTTTCCTCACTCTTTTTTGATTTAAACAACGATGATAACTAAAATTATTTTTGTTAAAAAAGTTGCTTATCATTAATCTTTTCATTTAAATAAATTCGTCATTTCGATTAAACCTAATCTTAATTTCGTATTTTTGCTATTATCGATATACAATATATAAACAACGCTTTAAGGTTTATAAAATTACATTTAGGTTTATGAAAGTTTATGAAAAATACACTCCTTATACAATTTCTTTTTGTTAGTTTCTTTTCGTTTTACAAATAATCTATATATATTATTAAATAAAAAATTTTACGATATAATGGAAAATACATATGATACAATAATCAATAGCTGGTGATACGAAATTTATGGCTTTCATATATAAAATAAGATAACGGAATAATATTTCGGCAAAAAATATTAAAGAGTTTGCCAGTCAGCTATACTTTTTTATAAATCCTATCTTATTTCTATTTCATGCCTTTTATATCTTAGTGAAGTTGTGAAGAAAAATATTTTTCTGCAAAATGTGCAACATTTCGTAGAGATGCTATTTGTAAATGCTTTTGTAGAAATGATAGAGAAAGAGTTGGGAGCAGCTGTTTAAATTTAGGTATACGTCCCTGTTTAGATTTAGGTATAAATGTGTATGAAATATTTTTCCAAAGAAATAACACCTGTTTTAAGATAATCGCTTGCATTTATCGTCACGAATAATATAGAAGCAATTATGGTAATTATCTAAAAATTTTTTTATCTATATATATTTATCTATATATATTTTTATCTATATATTACGATGAATTATAACCTTTACTTTAAGAATATTAAATATAATAAGCATCTTCATAAATTTAATATTAATATTCCTTATTTATAATAAATAAATAAAAATTTAAATTTATAATGACATACATATAATTAATATAAACTTATTGACAAAAAAATATAGAATATATATTTTCTTTATTTATTTGGGATAGCACTAATTTTTCATTTGCAAATCTACGATAATTATAAAAAATTAAATCAAATCTGTAAAACTCGAGATAACAGTTTACAATAATCCGTTATTATCGAAAGAACCAACGCCAACTTTTCGTTACGCAGCAACTGCAAGCTGCAACGTGCAAATACCATTCTTTTCTAAGGACAAACAACAAGGACACAGCTGACCCGTCGCTGGCGTCATTGACCCGTAGCTCGTTCATCTGCCGATACTATTTTGGCGTAAATTGGCTCATATACCTTTATGTGTGAGTTTTCGACTTAAAAGTTTTATTAAATTACCTTTCAATTAAAAGTAGGAATTACAAAATATTTTCCGGTCGTTTCGGCAACTAGATAAAACACTAAAAAAAAAAAATATTATATAACGTTTTATACATGTTTATTTGACTTATTGGTTTTCTATTTCTACGACTTTCGATATTCAATAATTGATTTTATTCTGTTGTATGTTGTATTTATTTATACAATGCTGTTTTATTTATAAAATCGCGTGATACATTTTCCTTTGTATCTTCTTTTCTTTTAGTTCTTTATTAAAATTCGCGATATATATGTATTCTAAGTTAAAAAAAAAAAAATTTTTTTTTTTTTTTCCTTTTTCTTGTTATCTCGCTTTAATTTTTTTTTTTTTTCATAGAACATTTTATAAAAATGTACCAATTTTTAACACATATCTTTTAACGCTTTGTTATTAAATTTTTGTTGTTTAATGCTTCAAATAAACATCGATAATTGTGATAATTTGTTTAAATATTATTAAATGGAAACACAAAAAAAAATTAATATTGGTAAATATTAAATATTAATAAAATAAACAATATAGTTCATAATAGTGGCAGTTGGATGGTATTCAGTAGCGGAGTGTATCATTACGATATGACAAAACATACGTGGTCGTTCGTGGAAGGAAGTTTACGAATTTTATATTTCGTCGCGTCACATGAGATCGATCACGAATGAACCAGGCAATCGTAATCCAACAAATAAATGGTCGAGGGTCACACTTTTACAAGAAGGGTCAGTTGAACAATACCAAGCGTATGGCCTTTTGACCTCGAGGTTAATACGCGGATATCAGAATAGGGGCAGCTGGACAATACGAGATTTATAGATACCTCCGATATTATCATTCATCTCAAACAGATGAGAGAGAAGAGAAAAAGTCGTCGAAGGATGATCGACCGATTATAATTGTTTGAAATTTGTGCGAGCGATTATAAACGAAATGATAAGAAATCGAAAAAGCTTTTTATGGTTTTAAAAGATTACATTTGGAAAATGGTATTTATTTATAAATGTTACGTCTAGTAGACTTTACAATTTTCTTTTTTTTGCGGAGCCGAAACGAGCTCTGATAAAATTATAAAATTCAATAATAACATCACTTAATAAATTAACTTAAAAATGAGAACTATGTGGGACAAAGATGGGAAAAAAGAAAAAAAAAAAAAAAAATTTTAGTGGGAAAAAGATGGGAAAAACTATGTGGGAACGAGATGGGAAAAACTATATGGGAAAAAGTATGTAGGAAGAAGATGGGAAAAACTATGTGTGAAGAAGATAGGAAAAACTATGTGGGATTAGATGGAAAGAAGTATGTGGGAAAAAAGATAGGAAAAAGTAGATGGGAAAGAAGATGGGAAAAACTATGTTGAAAGTATATGGGAAAGATTGTGTGGTAGCTTAATGGGAAAAACTATGTGTGGGCCAGATGGGAAAAACTTTATGGGTGCTAAGGTGGAAAAATATGTGAGTATGAAATGGGAAAAACTATGTTGATGTTAGATGGAAAATTAG